AAAAAAAAAAAAAATCTATAAGTAGTAAGTCAAATGGGTTGACTCATTCTTTTATGAATTTTCCACAAACGATTTTTTGACCAACTTTCAATATACATAGGTATTCCAATGGAAAACTTATTCCAACGGAATATTTTCGTTGGAATGTTGGAAAAACTATACTATTTAAATGTTGCAATTTTAATTGGAATATATTACAGTAGGATTTCCGTTGGAATATAACAATTATTTTTGTAGTGATAGTTCTTGAATTTTTTTACTTTATCATAATATTACTTTTTTTGAAAATTGCTGACATAATATTATTTAATCAACTAAAACTGGTTGTACTTTTTATGTTGATAAATTAAATAATTAAAATTCAATAATAGAATAAAATTTTGTAAAATACAAATTACAATCTTCAATCCACTTTAGCCAAAAAAATAAAAAATAAAAAAAAAAATAAAAAACTTCTTTCTCAAAATCAGTTTGGACATAAACCTTACTAATCCAGATTCATAATAATTATCTAATACCCTGCAAAAGGTTTTAACTGGTCAAACTAGCTAGTAAAATTTGCCTTAACCTCTTAACTTAGACTAAGGTTTGTTTGATTAATTCAGATTAAGCTTAACGGTTCATATATATATGGTTGCAACTTTTTAACTACTGATAATTTTTCAAGTAAAATGATAATAGCAAAATAATTACGTATAAAAAATATCAACTGAAGTATAATTGATTATTCTACATAAAATTATCTATATAAAGTTAATTGTTGTAGTAATTATGAAAAAATCTAAGGATGGTCGCTTGCATATAGTCTACCAAGCGTAGTTCTGGAAATAAGTTAAATGCATATGTAAATAAAATACTTGTTAGGCTATTATAGAAGATGCTACAGTCACATTACGGAATTCCGTGAGGTTTGTAACCGTTAGATCATCGTGTAATCGTCAGAGATAGTTGATCTAACGGCTACAAACTCGAAGAAATAGTTTCGTAGCGACACCGTAATATAAAATATAGATTACTTTACAGTTTACACTATAAAAAGAGGTAGAATTTAGGTGAAAACTAATCAATTTAAAAACATTGCTTCTTGGGAAATGATGAGGGGCTTTTGGTAATTGTCTCCTTTCTTGGAGAAGCCAATAATGAGTCAGAGAGCAAAACAAACAGATCAGTTCATATTGTGTACATGGGAGGAACACATTTGCCCAATGGTGCTTCAAGAAGAGATCACATTGAGCTTATGCATACCCTCAGACAAATGTATATTTCAATATTTATTTTATTTTAGCACAAATACTTTTTTCAGGAGAGTTGAGGCTTTGTATTTAATCTTCAGGAACGGCGATCGTGTTGTACACACATACAGCAAGAGTTTCCTGGGGTTCGCTGCACTTTTATTGAAGGAAGAAGCGAAACGAATGGAGGAAAGACGAGGAGTTGTGTCCGGTTTTCCCGACTCCGGCTTGCAACTCCACACGACACATTCTTGGGATTTCTTGCTGGCTCAAGATCATGCTTTTCAAGCCATTCCTCCCTCAGTATCTCCTCCTTACGCATCTAACTTTTCTGCTGGAGCTTACGAAACGATCATCGGCCTCTTAGATTCAGGTGATGAGCTATAGTGTATATGCTACGTACATTAATAATCTCAATCAGACAACAAATTGATCATATATATGGCGACTCTCTTGAAACATGGCTTCATCAGGAATTTGGCCTGAAGCCCCCAGTTTCAGTCCTTCTCCGGACATGGATCGAATCCCGAGACGTTGGAAGGGAGAATGCATGGGAGGAATAAACTTTAGTTGCAACGGGTAATTAAATTTAAGACATGCATTTATTTTATTAAAGTTGTTTGTTTCGTTGAGTGTATGTAATTTGTGTAGAGCTTATGATGTGAACTTTTCTTTTTGTTTCTTCTTCTAAAAGAGGATCAATAGTGGTTCCCCCATTAACTTCTTGATTGACTCAAACTCGAGACTTGGCCCAGGTGAAGGGTGCTACCAGAGCTTGTGATGTGAATTAAGTTGGAATTAATATGCGTATGATTTTTGTTTGTTTTGAAATGTAAATAGGAAAGTAATTGGAGCTAGGTACTATGAGAACCCACACAGTCGAGTCAAAATCACATCAGCTAGGGACGAGCATGGGCACGGAACACACACTGCATCGACTGCGGCCGGTATGCCAGTGAACGGGGCTTCTTATTATGGATTGGCCAAAGGGAGGGCGAGAGGGGGCTCGCCAGCTTCAAGAATCGCAGTGTATCGTGTTTGTGGACGTGTGGAGTGCAGTGAATCCGCATTACTCAAAGCATTCGATGATGCAATTGATGATAGGGTCGATGTGATATCCGTATCGATAGGGAATGGGGTGGGTGATAACTTTTTTGCGGATCCAATAGCTATTGGAGCCTTTCATGCTACGGCTAGAGGGATTACGGTGGTTTGCTCCGCGGGGAATGGAGGCCCGACCTCCACATCGCCTTACCAATTTTATCAAGGTAGTTGCAAAATAATCTTAAATTTTATACTTTTTATGCAGATCTTAAACATGCACAGACTAAGAGAAAATGACTGCTTAGTTTTATTTTTTGGCAACTGTTCAAGTGATACACCAGTTTGATAATCATCATACTGAAAAATGGCAACGTATGTTTTGAATGTTACTTAAAATGATTGATAATCGTTATACTTTTTGTAGCCTGATGTTGTTGCGCCTGGTGTGGGCATCCTTGCAGCATGGCCCCCTTTCGATGACATACATAAGATCCCCGGTAGGAATCCACCCCTCTACGTTATAATCTCCGGCACGTCCATGTCTTGCCCACGTGTTGCAGCGATTGCTGCACTAGTCCAATCTCATCATCCCACATGGAGTCCCTCAGCTATTAGATCAGCCATAATAACTACAGGTTACTGAAAACTCATAATTGATATTAAACGGATTTTTTTCCTTTTTATCGTGTATGGAATTATGAATAACAACATAAATCTAACCCGCAGCAATCCAAACAAACAATCTGCATCTTCCTATTACAACATATAACGGATCAGTAGCTACTCCTTACGACATTGGGTCGGGAGAAATAAGTTTGACAGCACCATTGCGGCCAGGGCTTGTGTACGAGACAGAAACCACCGACTATATCCAGTTTATCTGCAACTTGGGCTACAATACATCTATGATAAAAATCGTGGCATCAAATTTAACCGCGCATAACTTTTCTTGCCCTTGCACCTCGCATCGCGATTTTGTCTCCGATATGAACTATCCTTCAATATCCATTTCCGGCTTGAAAACAAATAGACAAAAGACCGTAAGAAGAACGGTGACTAACGTTGGAGATCCATACGCGACATACACGGTCACCATTGAGGCTCCTCCTAGTTTGAAGGTTCAAGTGGTGCCAACAACACTGCAGTTTACTCAATATGTTCAAAAATTAACATTTCACGTGACATTTAAAGACACTGCATCGTCAGCTTCGGAGGAACACTCGTTCGGTGCGATTACATGGACGGATGGGAAGCACAAAGTTCGTAGCCCATTTGCTGTGAGGAGAAGGGGAAAGGATGGGTGTAATTAACTACAATGTCTAATTAGTGAAGTGAAGGTTGTATCACCATAATAAGGAAGCAAGGATTTCATAAGTATGAATAAAAGCATATGTTTGCTTGGAATAATTTCTTAAAAATAAAATAACAAGAGTTATCAATTACATAAAATTGTCATAAACTTTGGCCTTGTCATATTATGAGCTTCTAATGAATTTTTATAGCTTCTCCCGCTACTAACGAATCAGTAAAATGCAACATGCTTGGAACTGTTGATAAATGAAGACATCATTGGCATACAAAAATAATTGTTTAAGAATCATGTTATCCTTACAATCACAAAATAGCACAAGGCCATAAATCCCCTCAATTAAGTAGAATGCTTCAACACAAAATTTGAAACTTTAACAAATCTCAATTCAACACAAATCACATCATCACATTCAGATGACTTTACTTCAAAAGCTTCAAACTCTGAGAAACATACTCAAGAAAGCCAAAATAACATTTTCATGGTCACCAAAATTGGGGTGTGTGTGTGTGTGTGTTGTGTGTGTGTGTGTGTGTGTGTGAGTGTGTGTGTGTTGTGTGTGTGTGTGTGTGTGTGTGTGTGTGTGTGTCTGCTATGAACAAGATTTCTCATATTCCACTAGCCCAGAACTCTTTCACCCTTTGTACACAAGCAAACAAGCACAATCAAATAAATCATTGGAGACCAGCAACTAAATAGGTAATATGATCCTTCACAACACCGTGGATAATCCTTCCGGAAGGACACACATGAACAAAAGAGCAAAACAATTGTGAAGGTAAATCCAGTTCAGCGCAAAGCAATCCATAAAATACACGACATAAAGAAGTCCAGATAACTTAATATTTCAGCCATCATTAAAATAACTTAACCAAAAGATAATTCGTTTCAAATGATCTATTCGAAAGCCCACAGATCTATTCGAAAGCCCACTGGTTCTCTCGCCGGACTTCCTCTTCCTCCTCAGGCGTGAAATCATTCTTGATGTTGAACGTCTTGCGAATCTCCTCAGGGGTCTTTCCTTTGATCATGTCTGCAACAGTCTGACAGGTCAGGTCCAAAAGACTCTTGATGTTCAGGTAATTTGCAGCCTGTGAAAAATGAAAATGCGAAGAAAAGCTTAAAGTTGTTATAATGCAATAAAGTAGAATGTTGTAATGTCAATCACCAAATGCTGAGATTTACACCATTATCAACAGGTGGAGTTTAAAAAAAAAACAGTAAAGTGGACCATATGGCAAAACTAATACACCACAATATCACACTTATTCCCTCACACACCAATAATTAGATGGGTGCCTACTTTCAAGACTGAACTTTAAATCATGCCACGCATGCATCAATATTACAAAGTCACAACTCCAATGTACTTTGAATTTTGACTATGAAGGATACAACCGCCATATAAATAGGCAGATAAGCAATCCACTGAGAATATAATGCACTGTAACTCCAATTTCAAAAACCAAATCAACCATATTACACAAACATTATGCAGTGTTTTCTGCTCCAAAGAACCATTTAATAAGATAAAGGAAAATGCTACAAGTACATAATAAATATACATAGAGGTGTACATAACACTCACATGGAGTGGGGTCCACTTGATTTTTTATTTTTGGGGGGTCCCACTCAATGTGAGTATTATGTACATCCATATGTACAATATTATGTACTTATAGCATTACTCTTAGATAAATTATTGCCAAGTAAAAAGAAAATGCTTTAAAAAAGAATAGCATACACCAGCATGCTTAAATCAGTATCTTATCATCATTCAGCCGATTAGCCTTTGATTGTTAAAAGGTAACTCTATAGAACTAGTTCAATATGTTTAGCTTGAAATTTTGTTTGATTCATTGATTCTCCCTAGCCTTTGCAAGTTAAGTGAAACCCAATTGATAGTCCCAACTTTTACCACAGAACAGTGAAGATGAACAATCATAACAGTGAACAAATAACCAGAGGAGTGGAAAGAACCTAATCGGTAATGTCAACATTTACCAAAGAGGTACATGGTCTATGATCATACGCGTGAGAATCCACATCTCAAGCATGCCAGTAGACAGAGCACACACACACACACACACATACATGGAATGCTACATGACATAACAGGAGCAGCAGAACAAGCAAGAATATAACTGCACAATGTCCATCAAACGCAAGCAAAACAAACTCATAATAATCATATACTCAAACAATTAGATGTCCAGGAGCTGCAGCAAAGTTATCATAGATCAGAACACAATAAAACAATAAATCAGCAAAAAACGATAAACTAAATATTTAGCCAGGCAACGAATCCACAAAATAGTGGCATCTAACGGAGCTGAAAACTTAACCAGAAACGACTAAGATAAATCTCAACCTTTAGGTTCGAACAAAAACCCTAACCCTCAATTGGTAACTAAATCCGGAGAAAAACAAACACTAACAACAGCAATCAACAAAGATAAGCTGGAAAGAAATAAAACACATACCAAAATAAGATCAAAGAGCGTGGCCTGGTCCACTTTGACAAAATCCGCGTCGAAATTCTTGATATCATCATCAGGTGAAGGCTTGTCGTCCGCCTTGGTGGCAGAGGCGGCGGCGGCGTCCACGTGGCGCCTGCAGTACTCGATCACCTTCGAGAGGATCTTACCGGTGACGTTAGGGAGAGGGATAACGTTGTCGGCGCACTCGTCCTCAATCATGTGCTTAATAGTCTGAGACTCGACAGCAACCGACTCTTCCACCTCGAAAACCTCGCCATCAGAGCTCCTCAGAGTTATCTTCTTGCCTCCGTTCTCCGCCGCAGAAGACGACATCGTCACGACGATTTCGAAGAGTAGTTAGGTTTGTGTGAACTTAAGAGGGATAGGGAGCAGCTGAACGGGTTTGCCCTTCCGATTTTTATAGACTTCACATTACTGAAGGCCGTGTTTATATAGGAGTGGGAAAAAATATACCAATTAATAATAAAAAAAAAAAAAAAAGGTTCAAAGATTTTATTAGAAATATGTAAAAATATTTTTTTTCCAAGTATATGTAAAAAATCAATTTAAAAATTTATGATTGTGATGAGGATAGTTTTATTATTATTATTATTATTATTATTATTATTATTATTATTATTATTATTATTATTATTATTATTTGAGATGGTCGAGCAGTTCGAGATGCAACGCAGCGCAAGCGCACCAAATATTTGGGTAAGTGCGAAGCAAAAGGGTATGGCTTTCTACCTTTCTCTTTCTCGTCCTTTGGGGAACTGGATGATGCGGCCGTTTCTCTACTCCGACGTATTCAAAAGTTTTCCTTAGCCCAAGATATTGGAGCAAAAGTTGCTGCTCACATTTATACTAGAATAGGCTTTGCTATAGCCAAAGGAGTGGGAGCCCAAATTGTATCTCGGCTGCCCACTAATTTCTTGTAAAAATATTTGTTTCAATAATAATAATAATAATAATTATTATTATTATTATTATTATTATTATTATTATTATTATTATTATTATTATTATTATTATTATTATTATTATTATTATTGTTATTTTTATTGGGTTTGTTAGGAGAATCTTTTATTTAGGAGAATATTTATTTATGTTTATCAAGTTAGAAACTCTATTTATTATCAGTGTTTGATGGAATGATGGATCAGTTGATTGAGAAATAAAATTTGCTCTTCTGTGATTTATCGAGAGAGGGTATCTCATTTATCTGTTTTTCCTACATCAGATTGTTAAAAAAAAATTGTATCTAAATAAAATAAATTAAGATAAATTATTATCTTTTTTTATCGTTAAATAAATTTGTATTGATCAAAATTGAAAGTCATACAACCGAGTCGGCTTTCAAGAGCGTAGTGGGTAACCACAAGTCGGTTCCTCACTCGCAAACACAAAAATAACGAGAACAATGTTCTCCTCCAACCAAGATCTTCTAAGTGCTCAAGCACTTGGCATCAACCATCCCCAAAATTTTATAAATTATTATCATTTTTTCTGTTGCTTCGACTATAAGAATATAAAAAATTGTAAATAAAAAAAAAACTCAGTATATATGTGTTGACGTGTGTTTGCGCCAATGAGGTCATCGAGATGATGATGTGGCATTTTAACGTTTTTAGGGTGAACTAGTACGTACCTCATGCGATGCACGGGATATAGATATTAAATGACTTATTTTTACATGCTCTGTTTGTGTTAGCGTTAGCTTGTAAAATAATTAATATATTGTCTCACCAACAAATTTATAATAATATAAATTTATCTCACCAACACAATTAGTATATATATTTATTCCTTGATATAAGTGTAGTATATACATTTATTCTTTGATATAAGAGAAAATAACAGTTTTGTTTATTCTTGTTTACCATATAATATTTAATTATTATTTATTATAAACTTTATTGTCATATAATATCATTATTATTTATAAAAGTTATAGAAGTTATACATCTTCTTTTTCTTTTTATTTTATGTAATGAAAAATATTTAATGCATGTTTTAGTATTATTTACTTATGTAATCAATTTAAAAATGTAAGTGAATTTAAAATCGAATAGTGTATAACTACTTTACAAAATATACATATGTATTTTTAGAATTTAATTTTGTAGACTAATTAAACTATTTTGATTTAGCAAATGCTAAAACTCATCACTTCTATAATCAAGATTTTTCTAATTTGCATTATAAGAATTTATAGTTTATTTAGCATACTTTCTAATATACAAATATATTTACTCTGTCAAAATAAAAGAATGAATAAAAAAAATAATCATAGTTGCCAATAATGTACAATTAAATTCTAAAAAACAGTTAATATATTTTAATTTTAATTTTTGACCATTAGTAAAATTTAATATATATGGTTATTATCTTTTAAATGGTAAATTATATTAATTTGAAAAATGTTTTTTTATAAATAACTAAATATAGCGTAAGAAAAAAAAAAGTTATATTGGAAAATTTTCACCAACTTGATTTCACCTGATTAATTGGAAAAAAT